AATTAATTTCAAAGCCGAATATGAATTAAAATAATTAATTTCAAAACCGAATAGAAATTAAAATAATTAATTTCAAAGCCAAAAATAAATTAAAATGACTAATTTCAAAGCCAAATATAAATTAAAATAATTAATTTCAAAGCCAAATATAAATTAAAATAATTAATTTCAAAGCCGAATATAAATTAAAATAATTAATTTCAAAGCCGAATAGAAATTAAAATAATTAATTTCAAAGCCGAATATAAATTAAAATAATTAATTTGAAAGCCATATATCAAAGCCGGAACTACAATAAAATTAAGATAATTAATTTGAAAACCAAATATTAAACCCGAAATTATGATCAATTTAACCAATTTGAAGACCGAATCTCGAAGCCGAAATCAGAAAAAATTAATTAATTAAAATAATTTGTAAGCCAAATATAAGTTAAAATGATGAATTTCAAAGCCAAATATTTTAAACCCAACATGATAATAAAATCAATCAATTTGAAGGCCAAATATCAAAGCCAAAATTAGAAAAAATTAATTAATCAAATAAATCAATTTGAAAGCCAAATATAAATCAAAATAATTGATTTGAAAGCCACATGTCAAAGCCAAAACTATGAAAAATTAGGATAATTAATTTGAACACCAAATACAAATTAAAAGAATTAATTTGAAAGCCACATATCATATTCAAAATACAGTAATGGTCCTCAGTCTAGGCATTATTGGGAATCCAAGTTGTATGACCCCACCAAAAGTCTCAGCGCAGAGGTACTTTAATCCTCTGAGGGATAAGATACGAATTATTCCAAAGCCACTTGAGAGGGCTTTATACTCTTGAGACTCAAATGCAGCTATGATAAATACACCCGTATACATAAGTTGTCCGGGATTGGGTGAAATGAGCCCCGGCTCCCTGTCAGTTGTGGAGGGACTGCACTTGTATAATGAATTACCTCCGCCAGGACTTGCTGCACCGTCACAGGGCGGTTCTGGGACACATGCTACTGCGGAAACTGACACTCCTTGCTCTCTGAAGGATGAGTTGTTGGTCAATAAAGTTACTTTGGGGGTTAATTCTTCTTTGGCTCCCCAGGGAGAGGGATTGACTAAAGTGACTGGCGGAACTCTACTACATTCTCTTACCAAGAATGATCCACAGATATCAACAACAACCGTTGATTCTACTACAAAACCAAACCATCCGGTTAAAATACCAATACCTCAACAACCAGAGGATAAACTAATCCAAGGTGGTAGAACTTACCGCTCCACCAATACCAAAACCAAACTCACAGGCAAACAACAACGTGAACGCCGTGAAAAGAGAAAAACTGATAAAGACATATCAGAACACAAACAACAAAAGATTGACACTCACTACGAGTGTGTAACAATAAGAAAAGGTAGAAACAAGAACTACTATGTTCAAAGTGATATAGGAAATATTATCCGTCACACTGATCAAACTACAATAGATGACCACACATCAGCACAAGAACCTGTTGCTGAGTCCTCTGCAATGGCACAAACACGCCTTCCTCCTAGAGGTCCACATGATGAAAGGATGCTTACGCATCATGAGCTCTTTGACAGGCTCAAATCCAAAGCAGATAGGGCGGTGAATATACCGGACCAGCCTACCCCCACTTACATCTCCAATGGGAAAAAACGCGCATCTCTTCACCGCTTTGTCGAATCAGACAATGAACATGAACTAAGGGAACACACTATCCCACCACAAGAAGGTAGAAGAAACAGCACACCAT